AAGTGGCGGGGTTTTTTTTAAAGCGTTAGTACCACGGAGAGCGATTTGGCAGTTTGTTCAGATGGACGAGTCCATCTATGTTCGGAAAAGAGGAGGGGGGAGACGAAAATAATGGATGCGGTCTGAAAGCCACGTGACTTTACCGAAAGAACCAAGAATATGAACCCCTACTCTTTGGTTCTATTCGGTAAAGTCACGTAGGTAAAAAATAAAACAACAAAAATCACGACGTTTCGGCCACAACACAAGTGGCCTTCATCAGGTGAAGGGACCAGACTGTCTAGAGGACAGCGCTGGAGTGAACACAGCCAAGCTCAGACCGCGACCTTTAAGCTGTGTGAGAGGAAACAGAGCGCCTTGACAAAGGAATTAGCATTAAAATTAGCATTTAATTGGCGGACTTAGCATGATGAACGGTGTAGAGGGGGTGAACATGTGCAGGTCGGCGAGGGGGGGAGGGGGAGTTTACATATTGATGGTGTGAAAAGGGAATTTAAGCAGCTGCGAAAGTTTGGGATACCACTAGTTGAAAAAATATACTGTATCATTGAAAATTAGTTTAATGTTTGGTTTGATTCAGAACATCTTTCAAATGGTTGCTTCATTTGAAACCATCCTCTCGGTTAAAAATTGTGTCTGTGTTTGTAAATCTGAATTGCCTCGTGAACAAATCTCTAGAATATGAACCCCTGTTTTGTTTACGTTGTACCAAAACAGCGGATACAACAGAACATGACTCGTGAAAAGTTGTCAACGGGGGTGATTGATAATTCGCACGCGGGCCGCCCGAGTAAGGTTCAAATGGGCGCTTATTTATTAATAAACTAAAAACTTCATTTTTTTTACCACGGCGTTGAATCGGCGAGTTCGCGAAACGACCGTCTGGGTTTGCTCACCGAGGCTCCCCCATGTGTTTGGTGGGAGAGGAGGAGGGGGGGTTGTCTCCATGAATCGATTGATCGATTCACGTGCCATGGAGTCGAATCGTTGAAGCAGAATATTTTTTTACATTGGAAAAATCCGATGAGCCACAAAGCTCTCTAGCCACAGATTAATCGAACAATAATATTTATACTGGAGGAATCCGATAAGCCATGAAGCTCATTTTCACAGATGAATCGATAAGAATGTTTATATTGGAGGAATCCGATGAGCTATAAAGATATGTTTCCATAAATGTCCAGTAAGTGGTACGGGGTCAGAACGTTATAACAAACAATACAAAACACCACAGGAGTGCAAAGTATCGGAAAGGCAAATAAATAAATTGTATTTATTTCCTTTAATTGTTTATCACAAATGATAACTGAACGAAGCGGCCTGTCATCATGTGCAAATGTATAGCAGCCACATACTTTAAACGCTGTGATGTTGATTATAATGTGGAGAATAAACACCGGAGCACCCGGAGAAAAATCCACGCGACCACGGCGAGAGAGAGACACCGCAAACCCCAAATATACAGCAGCAGGAGTCGGTGTCAGGATCGAACCCACGACCTCCTGTATACCAGGCGAGGTAGTTAACACCTAGCCACCGTGATGATGATGAGAGAGAGACACCGCAAACTCCAAATATACAGCAGCAGGAGTCGGTGTCAGGGATCGAACCCACGACCTCCTGTATACCAGGCGAGGTAGTTAACACCTCCTAGCCACCGTGATGATAATGATGAGAGAGAGAGAGACACCGCAAACCCCAAATATACAGCAGCAGGAGTCGGTGTCAGGATCGAACCCACGACCTCCTGTATACCAGGCGAGGTAGTTAACATCTAGCCACCGTGATGATAATGATGAGAGAGAGAGACACGCAAACTCCAAATATACAGCAGGAGTCAGGGTCGGGATCGAACCCACTACCTCCTGTGAACTAGGCGAGGTAGTTGACATCTCCTAGCCACCGTGATGATGATGATGATGATGAGAGAGAGACACGCCAACTTCAAATATACAGCAGCAGACGTCAGGGTCAGGGATCGAACCCACGACCTCCTGTATACCAGGCGAGGTATTTAACATCTCCTAGCCACCGTGGTGCCAATAACCGCGGCAGTGACCCCTCAACGGCGTGTGGGTGGCCCTCATCCAGCAGCGGATTGACAAAAAACAACCGGCCTGTGCTTCAGATGCGGATGATTTGTGTGCACAGTGAAGACACCGCGGTAGTGGGCGCCGCGGTGGCTATGAGATGTTAACTCCTTCGCCCGGTACACAGGAGGGCGTGGGTTCGATCCCGACCCTGACGCCTGCTGCTGTATATTTGGAGTTTGCGGTGTCTCTCTCTCTCTCTTACCATCATCACAGTGGCTAGGAGATGTTAACCACCTCGCCTGGTACACAGGAGGTGGTGGGTTCGACCCTTACCCCATCTCCTGCTGCTGTATATTCGGAGTTGGTGATGTCTCTCTCCCCGTGGTCGCGTGGATTTTTTTCCTCGGGATCCTCCACATTTAGGATCAACGTTCGTGTACTGTAATTTGGCTGCTGTTATACATTTCCGCCTGAATTATGATAAGCCATACTCTTTGGTTTATTTTGGTAAAGTCGCGTAGGTATAAAATAAAATAAAATACCCACGTGACTTTACCGAAAGAACCAAAGAGTGTGGATTCCTGCAGCCACGAAAGCTTCAAATCAAGATTGGTAAAAAAAAAATGTTTTGATTTAATGTTTTGATTTAAAGCTTTCGTGACTGCAGTAATTAATATTTTTAGCTCTTTCGGTAAAGTCACGTTGAAGGGAAACAATAAAAGGGAAACAATAAAATAATAAAATATATATAACAATATATTTATATGTATTTATATTTATTGTTTTATATATATTATTTTATTGTTTCCCTTCAACGTGACTTTACCGAAAGAGCTAAGAATAAAAATTTAAATGTGTCTATTGGAGTGGAACATTCAACGCACAGAAGGAGAGAGAGAGAGAGAGAACACGGCGTTTGGTTGGGGTGTTGCTGCACCCTGGGCTAAGGGGCCGTCCATAAATGACGTCACGCACCTAGGGGGTGGTGGGGGGGGTCAGACATTTGTGACGATGTGTGACGAGGAGGGGGGGGGGGTGAGAAATGTGACGTCACATCAAAATGCGCAACTTTAAATAAATGCACTTTCTCCTTTTTAAAAAAAATAAATGTTTTCTACCTACAACATCAGAGTGCAGCGCCACATTAAATACGCACTACAATGACATTAGTTTAAAGCGATTTGAAGCATGTTTATTTTTTTTGGCGGGGGAGGGTGGGGGGGGCAGAGCTTTGTGACGTCATATTTGAGGGGGGGTCTGTGACGTCGTGTGACGAAGGGGGGGGGGGAGGTCAAAAATCGTCCAAAATCGCGTGACGTCATTTATGGACGGCCCCATGCAATGCAAACGGAGACCACGGGAATGCTGTTTGGGACATCTGTGGAAGCAAAAACAGCTTCACGGCCCATCGGGTTCACTACAGTGTGACTACATATTCCGATTATGGACTTGATTCAATAATCGATTATTTTACTTTGGTGATGCAGGTTTATTCGGCAAGAAGGATGAATCGATCAATGACAGTGCTCACGCTAATGCCATCAAAGCAATGGATTCCCGTAATAATATAATCACGCGATACGTTGCGAGTGTTACGTTCCGCGGTTTATTTGTCTTCGTTCGTGTTTGCGCATCACCAAATAATTTTCTCTGTTCAAGGTTCATGCTGTTTAACTCACGGATCAGAATCTTTATTTAGACTGCAGGAGAAATCCGATGAGCTGTGAAGCTCTTGATACCACAGATGTCCAATCGAGACCAGGATGGAGTCTCATTTTCAAGAGTTGAGTAAACCTGGGTCACCCAAATGCCCTACTGGACATCCGTGAAAAAGAGCTTCATAGCTCATCGGATTCATCCAGGATAAATAAAGATTAGGATTAATCTTTGTTTTTTTTCGGTAAAGTCACGGAGAAATAAGAAAAAAATAAAATTGCATAATATACGACGTTTCGATTGCAACACAAGCAATCATCATCAGGTAGAGGAAACACAACCGCAGATATATACAGACCTTAAGTAGAGGGAATTAACACAGATATACCAGGGGATACAGAGAGACGGAACATCACACTAAATCAAACGGGGTTTAGCAAAATTTGGAAACTATATAAAGCAACACAGATGGTCGGTTAAAACACAATTAACGCATGGTCTGGTTGAATACACTATTTCAAAGATTGTTCAATTGTAAGTTGAGTGTGAAATTTAAGTCAGGGATAGAATACATACCGTAGAGAGACCTATGGGGGGAGACACGCACACAGTTAAGAGGTAAAGCAGCTCTGTACCGAGGCCTTAAATAGCCAGAGATGGAGGGACTGGGTTTCAGAGACAATGTGACACAAAATCAGTGACATTAAGGTGAGAAACTGAATATCAACCCCCAGTACAAAGTATTTGTTTGCATTACATCAATACTGCTGACAAGATTAACTCCCTGAAGGCCGTGTGGCCGATGAGATTTGTAATAATAAAATACTTTGTTCAGTGTTGATAATGCGCATGTTAAGAACTTGGGGGCGGTTGTTATCAATCATATGAATATAATATTGATTAGAATCTTTCGTGACTGCAGGAATCCATACCCTTTGTTTCGTTCGGTGTTGCGCCCAAAACGTCGTGACTTATTTTATTTTCTACCTACGTGACTTTACCGAAACACCTCCTTTGCCGGTACCAAAATTATAATAATAGGGTTTTTCAGAGTGTTTTTTTTTGCATTTTGACCACAACTATGCACACATGATTCCTTGTAAAAAAAAGTTTAAGTTTTGTTGCCATAAAAAGGTGGGGGCGAGAACCCCCCCCCCCCCCGATTATTAATATGCATATAAATTGTACAACCAAAGGCGTGCGAATCGCGTCAATCAGAATCGACACGCATATTGCGGCGTCGGGAATCGATTCCCCCGTCCGAGGCACGGCTGTGTTTTTCTTTTTAACGAATCTGCGCCGCGCGCGATCTGGATCAGCGTCCGCCTTGCAGAGGAGTGAGGCGGTAGGAGGAGGAGGTGGTGGTGGCGGGACACGCGCAGTAGCGGGCACGCTCTTCGCGTTCTTTAACAACAACAATAAAAACAACAACAACAACGGCAAGAACTCGACGACGACGCGAATTAAGACTCGCGCGCGGATGGAGAGTAACTTGGAACTCGGGCAGCAGCAGCAGCAGTCGAGCTGCGAATTGTGCGGCGCAATGGAAAACCTGCTGCGTTGCGGTAGGTGCAAGAGCTCCTTCTACTGCTCCAGGGAGCACCAGGTCTCGCACTGGAAGTCTCACCGACGCCGCTGCCGCCTGCCGACGACCGACTCGACGACCGCCTCGGCGGGCAGGCTGCCGCCCGTAGCGGCGTCACCGTCAGACTCTGCAGTCTCGGCGGCGTCGGCCACAGCCGCCGCCGCCGCCTCGGCTGTGTCAGCCACGACTGTGTCAGCCACAGCTGCTGCTGCTGTGTCACCACCGGCTACAGCTGTTGCTGCTGTTGCTGCTGCTGTTGCTGTGTCAGCCTCGGTTGTATCAGCGGTTGTGTCGGACACAGCGCGGCTGAATGGCAGGCTCAAGCAAGACGACGACGATGATGATGACGACGACGACGTTGACGTTGTGGTGGTGGCGGCGGACAAAGTGAGCAGGACTGACGAGGTGGAGGCCAGAGGACGCGGCAGGGGCAAGACGAGGAGGAAAGGAGGTGGCGGAAGAGGTGGTGCTGCTGCTGGTGGTGGTGGAGGAGGAGGAGCGAAAGGAGACGATCTGACGCAGACTGGACGGCATCATTCGCAGTCACACGGCGGCCACCACGGAGAGACACAACTGGTGGTGGTGAGGATTTCTATCTCTTGATGTTCAAACGATTAATTGTGGGGGTGTGGGGGTTGCGTGTGTGTGTGTGTACGTTGCCTCAACGGGGTGGCCTCACACCTTTGCGATCGGCGGGGTCGTCCGGGTGATGTCGGTGGCCTCTGTGAGCGCGGTGTTGCTCGTCTCTCTCTGCCTCTTCATTGATCGGCGGGCATCCTTGCCGCCTCGCCCCGGTGTGCCCCCTCGTCCCGGTGTGCCATTTCAGAGTTGTCCTTATTCCCAGATCGCTCCGAACGGTGTACAGTGATGACATATACGCATCTTGCTATTAAAATTGACCCTCGGCTGCTTTTGAAGATAAGATTCGTGTTGATCTTCGCGTGGTTACTGAGCGGGCAGGGTGTGAAGTGGTGAACTATTTTGCCCAGAATGTCGCCTTTTTTTTAGAGATAGTGGAGGTTTGCTGAAGACTATCACAGCTTCAAGATTACTTTACTTGTATCTGTCCTGTCCAATGGCTCTTTTGTCGCTTGCCAATACATTTTTTGTTCAACCTCTTTAACCCCGTCTGAATACATCAAATCATATAACTATTCTGAATACATCTTTTACGTTATATAGCTTCTACACACCATTCAACCTCCTGATAATTCATCCTGTCACGTGCTTCAATATCTCATGAGTTACACACCTCTTATCTCTTCACTCTGTTTTTTTCACACCTGATGATGATTGCTTGTGTTGCAGTCGAAACGTCGTGAGAATTTTATTGTTTTATTACTTTATTAGTTTATTGTTTCCCTTCTACGTGACCTCACCGAAAGAACCAAGAATATCTATGTTGTCACTTTTGAATTCATCTCTTGCCTGTTATTGTCTTTAAATACAAGGCACGGCTGTGCCCTGTTGGTGTGTCTTCTGTGTCCTGTCACTTCTGAACATAGTACATGTATATCTGTATTTCCATTGCCTTATGTATAAACGTCTCTGGTCATCATCTGGATGCATCTACTATCTATTATCTGTCTTCTGAATACCCGTTTCTCTTGTGCATCTCCTATCACGTCTATTTATCTCTTATTAATACAGTACATCTCTTCTGTCTCATCTATTATGACTAAATATATCTGTTATCGCAAATTAATGAATCTCCTGCATATATTTTATGAATAGGGTTAACCTCTGTCAACTTCTTCCTTAATGTTTCGTATATAAACCCTAATTTCCTGTCTCATTCGAATACACCTCAAAATATTAAATGTCACTTGAAATCAGTTGTTGTAACTCTATCCTGTACCTTTTCATATCTACCTTGTCCAATGTTTAACTGTTGTCAAATGTTCCCTGAACTTTTATTTTATCTAGCCTGACTGCTGATAAGACCCTGAAGGTTTTAACCTGTCCAGAGTTTGACCTGCTTAATTGCTGCGTGATAATATTGGAGTGGAATAGCCAACACACTGACAAAAGACAAAAAAACATTATTACGTGTGGAGTCTCATTGTGGAAACGAAACGACATGTCTCGGACTGTGTTCGTGAACACAAGGCAGATCTAAAATACAGACACAACTTCAACCGAGAGGATGGGTACAAACTGGGCAATCATTGGAAGGACGTTATTAACCAGGTAAAGTCTTAACTGACTGTGATGTTTCCATCCTACCTCCCTATGTCTGCTGTTATTTCATGCTAATCTCTCACATTAACATAGCCACTTCCGTGCCCTCGTCCAGGAGGCTGCTCTCCTATCTTACAGTTACATGCTAATTTCTCACATTAACATCACTAGCCCCGGCCACTTCTTTATGATCCTTGGGCAACACCCATTTCAAACCTTTTAAAACAGTCTGCCTCAGCAGTAGGCCATGCTTCCCACCTGATGACGGATGCTTGTGTTGCGCCCGAAACGTCGTGATTTATTTTATATTATATCTACGTGGCTTTACCGAAAGAACCAAAGAGTAAAGAGCTCTGCTTATTTGCCTTGAGCAGTAACCCTGTCAACATGCAATGTGAGGCCTATGTTGATATGTGTGGTTGGAATTGTTGGACCAACATTGGTGGTCCAACGTTCAATGGTTCCTGGGAATGTCCCACAGCATTCATGATGAGTTCGGTATTGCTTTTTGCATTGCATGGGGCCCCATACATTTATACGGAGTGCTCTTGCCAAAAGTATCTAGTAATCCAACAGCATTTGCGTAATGGGTCTGCATCTGCTGATGGACCCTGAAGGTCAAAACCGATCTATAATTTTGCCTGCTTAAACAAATGCTGCTTTATGATATTGTAGTGGAAAGCCAGTATTTGCTGATGGACTAAGACATATATTTAACATGTGGAGACGCACCGTAGAGTTTTGCTGATGTTTTTGCTTTGTCTCTCAATTCAGTCAACTTGGACTTGCCCCATTGGCAGTATCTATGGTGTCTTTAGTTTCTCCGTTGTCTTGAGTTTCTGCGGTGTCTGCAGTTAACAAATTTGGTTGTCTTGCCACGCGGCAGTTCAGCCTATCGCACCCATCGCACCACACCGTAGGGGACTCGGCAAGGTTACTTACACAATGTTTCGCTGCCAAATTCGCTTTTGGCAGCACTCGCCCAGCTGACATCGATCCAAGTCATGGCATCTTTTGCTGGATGGAGACTTGCTGGTAAATAGCTGCACGGTACTGCATTGTAGGGTTTTTTTTTACGTATATACACGAAAGAAAATAACTTTTGCATCTTCATTGCTCTGGCCTGTTCGTAAGTCGATTTGTTCGCAAGTCCAACTTTTCTCCTGTCGATTCCAAACATGTTGTACGGCATGTATACTAAAGACAGGGAATGGCTTGAAAATTTGTATAATGTTTTTCAGATATAGATGCCACCGGTTCTTAATGTTCTACAGATGTAGATGCCACTGGTTTTTCATGTTCTGCAAATGTGGATGCTACTGATTTTTCGTGTTCTGCAGATGTAGATGCCACCACCACTATCTATTGCGCGGCGGTTGAACTTTCGACTCTCTGTCCGAACAGGCAAATGGATGTAACGGACCGGTTTGTTTGTATCTCTGAAAGTTCGGTGGCCGAATTGTTCATAACTAGAGGAGTCCCTGTATTGAATTGTGATTATATTCGTTATTGAGCATTTTTTACATGCGTTGCACCCATCCATTTTAACTTGTTTCTTCCAGATTGATAATCCCCTTATCTGAAGCATTTTGAGATTCCATTGCATTTAGCTGCTTGCATCATTACTGTCATAAGCCATGGTCAATCCACTGCTGGATGAAGGCTTCCCAATGCTGCTGATGCAACGATCCACCCAGCACTTGTTCTGCACACGAACTAACCTCATCGCTGCATCTGCTCGGTGGACATCCTCTCGGATGAGTTCCATTCCTCAGCTGCCACTCAGCAAGATGTTAACTACCTCGCCTGGTGTACAGGAGGTCGTGGGTTCGATCCCACGCCTGACACCTGTATATTTGTAGTTTGCATGTTCTCCCCGTGGTCTCGTGGATTTTTTGCCCGGGTTTTTCTTTCCACATTTATAAACAAAATGCATTTAGAGTATTTGGCTGCTGTAAAATTACACATTTTAAGCCAATTCGTTGGGCTGTCATTTGTGATAGCCAGGTTGCTTCTGAAAAAATAGCTATATAGCTCAGTGGGCCTTACCTGGTAAAATTAAACATTGTTTGATTTTTTTTTGTTTATTATTCATGACCATCGGCCATGATCCTTTCTCGCGATACGTCCTGCCCCAAGCCTGTTTGCACTTGAATTTAAGTTGTTGTTGCTGGACTTCTTCACACCAAAGCCTGAAGAGTTTTACTTCAAGGCCAAACAGAGAAATGTAAAACCGTGACGGTGGTCGATGTAGTCGAATAGTTAATTTGTGGTTGATTCGCTTTTGTCCCTTTAAATATGCGATGCCTACCCCCCAAACTGTGCCTCCTTGCCTAACTCCTCTCCTAATGTGTGTTTTGCTACTTTTAATGAAATCTCCGTGTAGCTGTTCTATTTTTGTGGGTCTGTCAACCTAGCAGTATTTGTTTAATATGCCTGACCGCCATCAAAGCCATAAGTACAAAACCAATCCACCAGAGTTTGCTCATTTAAACAAATACTGCAGGGTAATCATCATCATCATCCATGATCAATCCGCTGCTAGGTGAAGACCTCCCCAAGCGGTCACTATATCATGATTCTGCAATGCATAAAAGCAACCGGCACACGAGCTGATTTCATCACTCCACCTTCAAGGGAGACGTGCTCTCTTGAGGTTCATATCCTCGTTCGTTCAGGAATGATCATCGGCCAACGTTTCTTCGAGCAATGTGCCCTGCCCAAGGCTACATAACTCTTCTTAACAGTTTTAATAATGTCATTAATCTGTATGTTTTGCGATCCATATGCACCTCTTACGCCGGTGTTTATCAAAGTGCTATCCTCAGACCACCAGGTGGTTCGTGACGTTCCTCTAGGTGATCCGTGGGGTTGTGATGCAAATGCAGGTTGATACGGACAATAATGTTGACGTTTATTCGTTTTGTTTCAGACGCAAAAATACATACATTTTACTTATAATATTTAATTACAGCAGAACCCCTCTTAACGACCACCCCTGTTAACGACTGATCGCGTAACAACGGGCCTCCATAGAGCCCAATGTGTAGTGTATAGTAGTGTAGTGCCTCCATAGAGCCCAATGTGTTCGCTAACCGACCAATCTTTTAACGACGGGCTGTTGGAGGTACTGTAAATATGAGTTGATACATTTGTAGTGACTGGGAATGTCACTGTGTGGTGCCGGGCCTGCGAGGCCACGGCGGATATTATGTTGTCATTTTGTGCAGCCTGGTTACTGGGCGTAGTACCAGCCCTAGCGGGGCTTGGGTGAGCGCTGGTTAGCGCGGGGACACCACGTACAGTGTGCGGTGCGGGATCCCGGTGAGGCAGCGAGAGGGAGTGTCAGCCAGCCACGATTACGTTGGGGCATGATACGCTGGTTAACCTGCCAACACGTGACCGGATGATATTGGAGGGGGGCCACCGGTGGAAGGGGGCCGCGGGGTGGTCACGTGGTATAGAAGAGCTCTCGGGAGCCTTTGGGAAAGAGCCAGAGAGATCGAGAAGGTGGGCGGGGCGAGAGGTGGAGCCAGCCCCAGCCCGGGCCGATATAACGGGGGCCCCGTTAGGGGCCCCGGGGTTCTTGTCTGTTGGTGAGAGAAGATCCACGTCGGGTTGAAGAAGCCTCTAGCCACGCGGTCCGGGACACAGCTTGTGGTCCGGACCGGGATAGCGGGACCGTGTCTAGTTCTGCCGTGGCGTGGTTAGATGGGCGTTCAACACCCGAGTGTAGGTTACATTATGTTGTGTTGCTGTTAATAAAAGTATTGCTCCCAAGACAACATCTGCGACTCAGTTGGACTCACTACACATTGGCTAACCATGTTTCTTTTCATATTGTTTATAATGTTAGTAAGTGAATGTATTAATATACATTGATATACATTGTTTAAATGTATGTTTAAATGTTAACGTGCATTTCCTATACTCGCTTAACGACCGAATCACTTAACGACCGGTTTCGTGGAACCGATTGCCGTCATTAACAGGGGTTCTACTGTGTTTTACTTTTGATATTAAGTTAGGTAAACTACCCGACTGAAACTACCCTCATCGTCATATCTAAATGCCCCCCCCCCCACCCCCCTTGAAAAAAATCACAAAAATCTGCAAAAATTATGTTCTGGTAATATCAATCATTTTCTACCAGTGGTATTTAGAGAGTGTTTTATCTGCTTGAGTGGTCAAAAGTTTAAGGAACACTGTCTCGAGCTCTCTTCGCGTATCCCCGTCTGGCACCTGCGCACAAACTCATTTGATCACTCCATCTCCCCGGTGGACGCTCCCTTGGATGCATTCCGGTCCAAAAAGGTCGATGACATCGTGCGTAATATGTTTTACGACTGTTAGCTCAAGTGTCTTTAGTTGTTGCCTCTGCATTTTGGCGAGACTGAATATGTAGAGACTTGTATATAACAATACTGTTATAATAATATTTAAATGCCTGTTAGTGTCAGTGATTGTAAAAAACAATTCATCAGGACGGTCCTGCATTGAGATGTTTGGCCAATTGCATCAAGGAGTGGTTGGCATTTAGCCTTAATTACAACCCTTTCTGATAATTTGCCTGTACAGTCCAAACGTAATTAAGATAATGGCATGCATGCAAAGCTTTGGTGACACTAGCTATTGTTGATGTTATTATGCACTAGTATTGTAACTGTCGTTGCAAGTGGTCAATGGTTAGATTGCTGGACAATTAACCTTAAAACCTGAGTTCAATTCCAGGCCATGGCTAACACGGGAGGCGAATGATATCTGAACCGGCCCTGGGGTCGTCTCTCTCCTTCACTAACTCGTACGGGACGAGCGTGGGTGAAGTAGGGTGAAACAACCCCCATGACCAACGCGCCGTGGGGGTGGCCTTCATCCAGCAGTGGAATGACAAAGGTCTGCAAAAGTGTTAACGTTGCGCGACAATTGAAACTGAAGAAAAAAAGTTAGTGAGCTCCGGCAGGGGTGTGTCCTGAGAAGAGGGCATGGCTGGATGGGTCAGGGACTAATCAAGGAGTGGCAGCCAAGCAATGGAACACGACAGACTGGTCGTCCACCGAAGGAGATGGAGCGATGAAACTGGGTCCGTGTTAGGAATGCTTTGTGGATTATTTAATCGCAGGACCGTGAGAAACAGTGGCAGCTTTGGGCGGTCTTCCTCCAGCAGTGGATTGATCATGGCCGATGATGCAATAGTGTCCATTCTTGCCGCTAGAACCTTAATACCGGGTGATTTGTGCACAGCAGGCCATGACTTTGAGCGCTGTGCTAAATCTAACCTTTGGACGGGTGGCCTCGGCGGGGGTGCATGTGAACGAAACCAGATGTGGGTAAAATGAAAGCCCACCGATGCCAGATAACCCACGTCTGCCTTGTCCAGCAGCGCTGATTGAGTTACAGACAGCTTTAAAAAAAAAACGCCTTCCACGCTCACCTGATGTGACCTCGCTCGGAGCCAGAGAGAGTTCACTCCGCTGTGTTTTGGCGAATTATTTGTCAAAATATATAAGGTGATATTTTTTCTGAAATGAGCACTGAAGTTGTGCTCATCTATTGTTTATAGCCGAGCCAGTGATGGAAATTTTACATTTCGATGGTTTGTGGCGAGTCTATCCATAGGACAACCTCTGTTGATTTCCCCACAAAGTGCAACTCATTTTTATCAACTACCCAGGGATGATGGGCTGAGTCATCCCCCAGCCAGGGTTTGAACTGTTGACCTTCCATTTGCAAGCCACTCGCACTACTGCTGAGCCATCTGGCCGGATATTATGAAATAATTATTAAAAACAATAGTTTGTGATAACCATTTATCGCTCACATTTTGTTTAAATTGCATATACTGTGTAATATTATATTATACTGTGTAAAAGTCGAGCCTCATTTCATTACTTTAACTGGTTGGTTTATTGCGGTGCCAACGTTCTTGAAAGAACAGAAATATTGGGAAAGTAGATACATTTAAAATTTAAATGCCACGTTTAGCTAAATAAACACTTGGGCCCCAGTGACCATTGCAAACCATCGGACATGTAACAATAACAGTCCACCCCTCCCCCGTGCCACCGCACACACCAGTGGGTTGATGAATTGTTACGCTTTGGCGATTGCGGTTTCATTTAATAATGCATTTTTTTTGGTTTATTTATATTGCCGCTTGTTTTTGTTCCGTGTCCCGTGTGTTCAGTTTTTTTTCACTCCATTAAGCCTCCTAATGATACAAATGTTGTAATACAATGCCATATGATCCAGATATAATGAGCATAGAGGTTTAGCTAGCTTTGCGTGGGTTCGGGTTTGTGAAATTTGCCGTAGTTGCGGCGAACATATTTCTACCCAAAATTCGCTCCGCGTGGTTTGAATTCACTCATACGCTGCTGTGCATTCGGACATGCAACAACATTGTGTGTATACTGTGTGCACTACTCGGCAGGCATCTGTCTCGTGCTATTTTACTTTGTGCATCTTTTCTTTTTTGGAGCACATCTACCCCATTCAGCGAGGGAAATGCTATGTACTTTGTACAGGGAGGCGGTCAGTAGTAGGAAAATTAAGGTCTTGAACCCGGATATGAGCATGGTTGGGGAGTTGACACCACGGATAGCTGGGTGGGAATTCAAGTGAATAATCATTTGCATACAAATTTACAATAATTCTAAGGAATATTAATTTTGCCCATTTTTAATTCGGGTTGGTAATGGTGTTTTTTTTTACCATACTTCACCGCTTTGGTTGGTCAGGGTTGGTAATGGGGACGGGGGAAGGACAGGTCCGGTTCTGATATCACTTGCCACTGATGTTAGCCGTGGCCAGGAACATAACCCGGGTGTCTGGGTTTAGTCATCAACTTTACAATCGATATTAATGAGTGATTTGATGCGTTGCCGCATGCCTCATTAACCCGCTGTGCTTGCCACCGTCTTGTGTCATCTGCCCAGGCAACGGCGCCACTGACACTGGCGTCGGCGACGGATAAGGGTGCGACACCAGAACCTCTGAGCAAGAGCAACGGACGTGGCCCCAACGGGCAGCCGGCGCGGCCCAGCATGGCTCAGCGCGCCGCCTCCTACGTGGTGCCGTGCATGGAGAAACTCGGCATCTGCATGGTGGAGGACTTCCTGGGCGAGGAGACGGGCAGCGCCATACTCGCCGAGGTCAAGCGGCTCCACGGCAGCGGCAAGTTCTGCGACGGGCAGCTCGTGGGTCAGCCGCGGGCCAAGGGCGGCTCAGAAACGTCGCCCGCTTCTGCCGCCTCCTCGTCCTCTTCGTCCTCCAGCTCGTCGTCCTCCTCGTCGGTCATCGCCGGGGCGACACTTTCGCCGCCGTCTGCGATCCGCGGCGATAAGATCGCGTGGATCAGCGGGAGCGAGCCGGGCTGCGAGAAGATCGCCTACCTGATGTCGCAGATGGACGAGCTGATCAGACATTGTGCCGGACGCCTGGGGATCTACAACATCAACGGACGCACCAAGGTGAGACGGCGGTTGCTGCGAGCAAAGTTTCAACTGAGGGGTCGCTCGCGGCCCTGAGAGATTCGCTGAGCCGACATCGCTGAGAATCCTGCGTTTTGAAATACAATTTACAGCCGCCTGTGACCAAACGGGGTTGTTGAGCTCAGGAAATTGATGTGTTCCGGCATCCAGTGACTGGGCAAAGAAACACGTAACTTTAAAATTTGGTTTTGCGCTCAAATTTCATAAATTGCAGCTCCGAGAATCAACATTTCTTCCTCCAGATACATTTGGGCAAAAAAGTAATACTCGTTGGCAAAAAGTCCTGTGATTTTCGAGGCATCTAACTTTAACTGTGACGTCTCAGGGATTCTCTTTGTCACATCAAATCTACCTTGGTGTGGGACATTAAAAAAATACACTTAAGTGTAAAACATAATCATTTGGGTTACTATCACGTTAATGCTGCACCACTGTTGGGGAAAATTGGATTGTAATCTTGGACGTTGACGAAAAAGATAAGGAAATCTTGTAAGTGTGCAAAGAAGCTTCAGAATTACATCTGAACCATAATAGGAGGTACACGTGCGTTAGAGAATATTTATTTAAAAGTTAAAAACATTCTGACTACTAGGAAAAATAGGTGGCCTTGGGCACACATTGCAAGAAGAAGTGATAGCGGGTAGTCAAGACTAACGTCTATGTGGCAGCCAAAGGAGGGAATGCTGCCGAGAGAACATTCGTTGCTGACGTGCAGCAATGAGATCAACTCCTGTGCAGGCTCCAGATGGTTTGCTATGCATCGCAGCTCCACGGGACTTAGGGATGATCATCCAGCAGTCGATTTGATCGTGGCTGACCACGATGATGATGGTGAACACTTAAATGTTAGGATACACACGCATTGCATCTGGTTGCGCTTAGGCAGTCAGACGGAATTATTTATAATTGTGCTTAATCTACATCAAGGGTGAACACGGGCGAGGTGACGCACTGGCCGTGAAATGCTGGGGCACAGTGGCTCACACTTGGTAGAAGAACCTTAGCCTGCATTGATGGGTGCTTAACAAAGCCACCACATAGTAAACGCATAACTTAATTGGGCACTTAGTGACCACGGTGAATGTGCTGGTGTTGGAAGGGAGAGCAATCGCCACTCTTCCTCGTCTTTGTCTTTGGGGAGATGCAAGAGGAATAAGTGGCACCCGCGTATAATTTAGAGGGTGTCACCTGCTTTAAGTATTTTTTTTCTGAATATCGCTGTGCATTAATGGTATGTTGAAAAGTGCATTTGGCCCATGGCCCTAAAATCCCATTTTCTGTTTATAACATTTAACTGCAGTGTGAATCGTCCATTTAAGGCAATTTTTTTTGGTGTGGCCACAAATGAGCGTCTTATTCACTTATTTTAACAGTCATCAAAACATGTTGGAAATTCTTTGGCTTGGCTGGATAAAGGGAAAGAACTGTGAATTCCCGTCCCTTTGTCATGTTCACGGATGGTTACGGCAGGCCAAAGGCCCAAGTAGCCAGCAACAAACATCACGAGCGATGGTGCAATAGATAGTAGTTGAGATGTTTCTAGAATTGAATAAGGATATAAGAACTTGGGGGTAGAGACTGATGGGAGGGAATTTGAAAAATCGAGCAGTACCACAAAAATAAGTGAAATGGCACGTGGTTAATTTGATTTTTCTAAGCCGAGGATAATGGAAAAGATGAGTACAGCTTATTGTCACACAATTTACCTCTACTTATGAATTTAGCTCTAATTATGAAATACATAGCTGGTGTATATTTAAATGCTTTGGCAATGAATGTATTAAAAGCAAAGGTATATTTACATCTCCTTCTCCATTCGTGGTGTCTAGTGGTTGCTGGAATATTAGGAATTTATAATGAATTGTAGGGTTTTTGGAAGGATCTTAAGTACTATGTTTTGATACCCCCTTTCATGTGAAAGAATATTAACTAGTTCAACGCTACAATTTCCTTGCCATCATCTACATTACAATTAACCTAATTTGTCCCTCTGTAAGTCTATAAACTATTTTTTATTTCACCAAAACCCACTGAGTTATAAAGCTCTTTTCCAGAAGCGATCTGGCCACAATTGATAGCTCAACGAAGTGGCTTATCACGTGGTGGAAATTTCCCGCAGCCAAAAACTGGAAACGCGTTTCCAAATGTGGAGGGAAAAACCGGAGGATCCAGAGAAAAATGCACGCGACCACGGGGAGAACATGCAAACTCCAAACATACAAGCGTCAGGGTCGATATTGAACCCACAACCTCTTGTATACCAGGCGAGGGAGTTAACAGCTTACCACCTTTGGCACCCTAAAAAGTCAGTCGCACGAGTCACAGCACTTGAGTAAATTTCATCGTCCAGAGTCCAGTAATGGCTCATTCTCACAGGACGGAACCATAGCCCTGTTGTGTTAATGATGGACTACGTTGAACCTTTGACTTTTGACCTTGGTAAAAAAAAACATGGCTATAGTTCACCACGCTAATTGTACTAGGTTGCAAGAATTGTGAAATTCTCTTCTCAACCCTTGTATTTTTTTAGTTATTTAGAAATAAATAGATGAATCTGCATAGCATGCGGGGGACAAACGGACTTGTTGGGGAAAAGAAACTGGAAAGGACACTTTAGAGGAATTATGGAGTTAATTTATAAAGTGAATCATGTGCACTGTGGTGGACTGCTGTAAAATTGTATGAAACTTTTCAATACGTATAAAGGTTCTTTTGAATACTAAAATAGCATTACACCAAATATTGATTTAAAGCTTTCGTGACTGCAGTAATTCATATTCTTAGCTCTTTCGGTAAAGTCACGTTGAAGGGAAACAATAAAATAATTAAATATATATGAAACAATAAAAAAAATTCTCACGACGTTTCGACAAATGTTTCTTGCCGTTGGTTTTTCACGCCTGATGATGACCGTTTGCGTTATGGTCGAAACGTCGTGAAATTTTTTATTATTTATTTGTTTATTTTATTGTTTCCCTTCAACGTGACTTTGCCGAAAGAGCTAAGAATAAGCATTACACCAGTTTATATATAATGTATGCATGAGAGGACATCACTCGAAGGGATGATAGCCAGTGGTCAAGAATAACAATGAGGTAGCAGCTGAGAGGACGTCCAGCGAGGGAGATGGAGTGACCAAATACATTTTTGTGCGGGTGCTCGGTGGATTATTACATCGCAGGTACTTTAGAGGTGTAGCGCTGGTTTTTGGGAGGCCTTTGATCAGCATTGGATTGACCGTGGCTTCTGATGATGATACACGAGAGGGTTAACTTCGATGTTAGGTTAAATAAGCCGCCAATTCTGGGCTCCAACATTTTAGGTGAATGGGATTTCTGCTTGCACGTGTGGCGCTTCTAAACGAGAACGCATTCCATCTCTCTGTGTGGCCCCTGTCGCTGATTCACTTCAGCTCTGCTCAACTGTGTGGATCACTCTGCCTCTTGTGATTACAGGCGCATGGTGTAACGTGTTTATCTTTAATCGACGCGTCCCTCAACTCTTGGAACGTGTGCCCAGCATCCCCCACTCAACGCCAGAGATCTCCGCAAAACACAAACATTCGCGCCTCCCTGGGGGGCATCGGGCACCTTCACAACAGCGCCCCTTACATCGCGTCTGCACACGCTGATGTCGGATAAAGGTGCAGCCCCTGCGATTTCTTGTTCATGCCGCTGCCGGCAGAAGGGCTTCCACGATAGGGAGCTCTAGAGAGCCCCTCTTGGGGATCAATTTGGCCTTCTCTTCCATGCTTTTCAGGCGTCTTGGAAGAGGTCGGAGCGACCGCGCTTTACTCAACTACACGCGACCTGCCAATTGACCGACCGTGGTCTACTCGTACTGATGATGAGTTTGACAGAGGTGGAGAGATTTAAGAAACCAATCTGGGAGATGGAAGCTAACTGGCACTCTCTGGATTGGAGTCTCAGTGCGCTAACCATGACACCATGGCAGCATTCCTGACGGGGGGGGCGGGGGGGGGGGAAGAGTTCAAAACAACGAAAGTTCGGTATGTGAGTAACTGAGCCATTTCGTTTTCTGTTGTGGCCTGGTATATTGCATGGAGCTGGTAAAGTGTGCTGTTTTTTTGTGAAGCGGGTGTTAAAGAACGCCTGATATTAATCATGTTTCTCAAAGAGCAGGGAGTAAGGGGCTCTGTGTGTATTGGCATAGTTGCGTCGTGCACTGCGCTATGAACCCAGCGACCTGAGATCGATTCCCATTCACGGCTCACATCAGTGGCTAGTGATATCTGAACTGGCCCTGGGTGCCTTCCACCCCCCCAAAATCCTGACTGTAATCCTCCTTTACCAACCATCATGACCAGCATAGTGAAATATTCATCCAGCAATGTATTGACAAAGTTCTGTCATTTATTTGTGTTACTGTATATTTCTCAAAGCAGGTGGATGGGTGGGTCATGATGTTTTGCCTGTGTAAAATTCGTTTCTTTGAATATCGAATCGTGAAGAAAGCTCACAACAAAGACTTGAATTTTGTAAAACACCTGTCTATTACATTCATTTATAGATATAAAAAAAGATAAGGACACATCGAGAAAAACCATGCAGACTGAATGATTCTGTAACGCTTTCCCAGCTTGTGCGTGACTTCGGAGGTATTGGATTCGAAGCTTGGAGGCCTGCAGATTATCAGGGCCAGCGGAAAGCCGTTGAGGCAAAATGCATCTCCGCATTTTGCAAATCTTGCCCTGTGCTCTCGTTTTTGTCTCCATGTTGTGGGGCACCGCTTTGGTTTGTTATTGGTAGGGTGACTCCCGAATAGCAATGCGACACTCTACGTTTCACATTGGACCATCTTCTTCCTCATTCGTACGGCATTTTTGGGGATTGCAACAGATTACAAATTGATGTCGAGATTTGATAATCCCATTCGACTGCTTCAGGAATAGCCGTGTGTATTTGTTTCGGATTTGGCGTTTGCCCAGGCTTCTCTCCGTCGTGTTTTGGTGGCCTCGT